TTACAGATAAGGCAGATTGGGTTATGGATACTAATATTGTCTGGATCTCGTTCATTATACAGCAACACATTTGTGCTATAATAGTTCCCTTTAACAACACAGTTTCCCGTTGTGGGCACAGGTACCGCTTGGGGTGCCAGCCAGGGTTTTGACGATAACAAGTGGAAGACTCTTCAGATGCCCCGGGTTGATCGGCATCTTTCATAGTCCACGACCAATCGCGCGACCGATCGCTCGACTGATCGCGCGGGACCGTCCACGGCGGCACCCATAACTAGCGCGGCCTCCTCGAACGATCGAGCGACCAGTGGCGCGATCCGCGCGACCGGTCGCCGGTCGCTCGTGAGATGGGTCCGCGACCAGTCGCGCGACCGATCGCGCGACCGATCGCGCGACTGGTCGCCAGTCGCTAGCGACCGGTCGTGGACTATGAAAGATGCCATCCTATCGGGACTGGGAGCCGTTTGTTTATCATTGTGAGCATATCGATTTTGGGAAGGGAGGGTTGGAGAAAACACATCCCTCCTGGCTAAAAAGATAGGCAAGCAGGTGGACGTGTCCGAGTGGGAGTCGCGCATCTTTTAACTATTGCCTTCTGTTTTGCAGTAACTACTCCGTCAGGGTGACGGTCCTTCAATTCGACAGGTTTTGGGAGTGCACTTCCCAGTCCGGCGGCTTTGGCCAGAACTAGTGTTCTTCTCTTTTTCAAGTCTCGTTTTATCGATTCTCTCTTAGCGTCTGACAGACAGAAAGGCAGACAGACGTTCATAAGGATGCCTGCGAATAAGGATATTTACGTTTTTAACTCAGCATCTCAAGGAAAGTAGGAAAATATGCTTAAAGGCACAATTTACGATAATTTTGGGTAATCCAGATTATGATGAAAAATGGAAGACAAGGTCGAAAATAGTGCGATGAAGGTGAAGTAACTGCGTGAATCGGTGTTTCCAAAGTGAAAAAAGGCTGTGAAAATTGAAAAGCCGGCTGGACGAGAAGAGACCAGAAAAATGAAGAAGAGAGGGGCGTTTGGACGAGCTATACAATGTGTCTCACTGTGTACGTGTGGGTCCTGGCGCGAATAACAGACTACGGTTAGCAAAAATTCATTCACTTTTAAGCTTGAGTAAACAAAAAACCCTAGTAACAGCAAGAGTAGCTCATCTTTTTCTTCCTCTAGGAGTAAAAAGTCAAATAAAGGATCGCGGCAGCAAAAAAAAATAACGTCTGACGTGACATCATCATTGTAGTTTAAAGGTACAGTCCACGATAATCTGAATGAATTATTGTCCCATTTAACATCGATTTACATGAGCATGCATCTGTGAAGTCTCCATTCCACTCTGTCGCGAACCATTCTAGTCCAGTGGTCATGCATTGCTCGAAGAGCATGAGGCTTATCGTCACTTCGGCTAGGAGCCTTCGTGAAAAAATTCGATCTTCGCGCTAGCGGCAATTCTGGTATTCGGTTGACGTCCTGAGGTACCCAATCAGCCACCGCTGTCGTCCAAGGATTATGTGTCTGGCTTAGCTGATCATCCTAGGGGTTAGCAACGGCATCCCTGATCCTTGCGGGTATCGTGTAGTTCTAGGCATTGTCTTTTACACAGCGGGTTGAATGACGCTATCTGCATGATCGTATAGTTTCGTAAAGAGTTCAACTCTCTGAGGCGTATATCAAGGCAGGAAGGACCGCAATGGCGAAAAGACTGACGCAGAGCCGTATGTACGTGTCTTCTTTGAAAATCCCTCGATGTTTTTGGATATTTCCCACGCCGCTCGTCTCTCTTTCTAATTACGAAGTACCAGGTACCAATCGCAAGCCGATCTCTACACAGGCGTGGCCGAATCTGAGAAGCTTCGTCTTGATAATCGATGCTAAAGAACGATGTTATCTGCAAAACGAAGATGATGTGAGGAATGGCCATTCACCTTTATGCTCAGGTCTTCCCATTCCGAATAAAGCATCCATTGTGGCAGAGCGGCACTGAAGAGTATGGGCTAGATGGTATCGCCTGCCGAACCCTCTATTGACGTTAACAATGACTTCTTTGTAGAATGGCGAAATCCTGGTCGTGAAGTGTTGTAGAGCTCATGAAGCACCATTTGTGTTAGGTAGGACGCCCTGGTTGGCCAAGGGTCGCCTGTGGTTTCAGCAGTATCAAATGTTTCCTTCAAAGAGATAGGTCATGTCACCTTACGTAAGCAGTTAGACAATACGTTAGAAACAACGACACCCCATCTCACATACATCAGTGAGCCTTGTGGAAAGTGGATGTGATAGACTGGTTTGTGTAAACTTTGTCAAGACAGCAGGGTTGACATATTATCAGTACATAGTTGCCAGTATCGTCCGGACCTCGCTTTTTGTATAGCAACACAGTCTTGCTAGCCTTCGACGACGGGGGCACTTCACACTCGAACAGGGTAATGCGTAAAGAGCATAGCAACGATAAGTTGACAGTAACTGAAGGAAGGCTGTGTAGCTCTTCAGTCGCTCTCCTGATGTTGTTCTTGGTGTTTGATATAGACGTGTCAAAGCTACATGGAGAGGCGTAACTTCTTCAAGGTCATCGTCCATAACAAATATGTACGTACAAATCGACGTTCATGCCAAGTGCATGTTGACGAGGGTACCACTACACCTCTAGAGCAGATGCGTCGCATGTTCGAAGGGCCAGACACTTTCCAGTTTCGAAACGTCATGCAGCGGTCCATGCCCTATCGTATCAGTCTTTCTGATGACGTCGTAGTTGATCTTCTTAGCTTGCATCACCAGTCTTCGATACATGCTTCCTCTGCGAGTGCTCGTGCATGAAAATGTGTACCGATCGCCATCATACTCCTTTCCCTTTTAGGCAGCCTGTTGATATCCTGGGACTCTAACAGCCTTTTCCGAACGGTTCTACACGATGACGCCGCTCTAGGAGCTTTTGCAGGTTCACGGGAATGTGGCCCACTTATAGCACTGTTTTTTATATCTTGCCACGTTCTGACGTTGGGCCTGGTCAGACTCACGGTACCTGGGCATCCTATCCCGGAATGGACGAGAGAAAATTCTTAAAGGCAGAGTTTACGTTACAATATATAACAGGAAGGCCGCTGTCGAGCCTCAAAACACAGCAGCTAGGGAATAATGGGAGCCCCGTTACCGGATCTCCCGAACTTCACGCCCTTCGATCGAAGTCACCTCAGACGAGTGTCGAGGTGATACAGATTGCAACATTCGTTCTAGGACCCACACACAACCATCAGCTGATCGCCGAGCCGAGTGATGGAGCAATGTTTTCCTCCTCTGTATTCCCAGCTATTCTTTTTGCTACTGCAATCCTCTATTTAATTTTCTACCAGAAGAAACTGGAAAAGGTTGACTATTTTTGCCGTTACTAGGGTTTCTTGTTAACTAATGAGGGAATAAATTTTTCATACCGTAATCAGCTCTTCGCACCAAGACCCACACGTACGCAATGAGACACATTGTATAGCTCGTCCAAACGCCCCATCCTTTTCGATTTTTCTGGTCTCATTCTGATCCAGCCCCCTTTTCAACAACTTTTGAAGCCTTTTTCACTTTGGAAACATCGATTCACGCAGTTCCTCCGCCATCATCGCACTATTTTCCATCTTACCTGCCATTTTTTTTCATAATCTGGATTACCCAGAATTATCGTGAACTAAGCCTTTAAAGACGACCGCAATCGCTCTCAACTACTCCTCAGTCATATGAATGTATGCTTTTAACTAAACCTATGAGAAGTATACTAAAAACACACACAGAGTCTTCATACATGTTTGTATGAATACATACACTAACGAGGAAATCAATGCAGTAAGTTGATTCAACGCAGCAGAAACTGGGAGCCCTTACCCTGATTCACCTGTCTCTAGGCAATACCGATGACTATTGATCCGCGGTTTTTACACCTAACCGCTTCCTGGCATCGGCTTTATCGCTCCTGATTGTGGATTTTCTCAGTTGGTTTAATACGCAACGAAATGAAATGAAATAACGCTTGGTGCTGAAGTTACGATTCATTTCAAAGATTCAAAGAATCCTACGATAAATGCAAGAAAATCTTTTCGACAAGAACGGCTGCAGTCAAAGTGAACTGAAATCTTTTTCATTTACAGCACGATTGCCCGCCACTCTGAATAGGAATGCACTGGGAAAATGGATAAAAATCAGAACGTACTGGGACTGAAGACTAGATAACATCAAATTGGCGGCTTGTACAACACTTACAATAAAATTATGATAGTCATTCAGAAAACAGTCAACTGAGACTGAGATGGAAGGTGGCTATGGTTGTACGAAAATAATATCACCATCGGAGTTGAAAACAACCATATCGACAGGATAGGAAGAGTGAACACAGGACGCACAAACGTAGACGCACTCATACCAAATGACAGTTGCAAAAGTAATCGTCCTATCGCTTATGAAATGCATAATTCTGCGGGTGACGGGCTGAAGTTCCACGCTACACGTGAGCGTCTACGCTTTCTTACAACACAGCATTCACGGTGAACAAAAAAAAAANAAAAAAAATAGTATTTAAATCAGAAGTAAAATCCAACACGTCATGATTCTTCCTGATAAATTTTTTGCTCCTGAATGCTGTGTTCATATAGTTAAATTCAAAAACTCTTGATGGTAATAAGGAGATATAAAGCTGGAATAATGTGCTTCAATTTGCTTAGTCTATGGTTATTGCTACCTAGACCCTACTACGAATATATATTTTAGCGGTAATAGAAACAGGGTAAGTGACACACCTCATCAATGAGAAGGTGAATAGGCTTGAATAGAGTGTAAAACAAGCGAAATAAAATACAAAGGGTACAATTCACACGGTGCAACATTTACCGAACGAAGGAATCAAGTCATAAACAAAAAACTCTGTAAATATGAAGTCGATTTCCACACGAAGGAAGCAAAGCCGTGATGAAAGTTGAAAACCAAATGAGAAAATAATGCGAGAACGACAAATTACTTCAAGAGTTCATCTCAAAGGAACCAAAACTTGTACATATGCAATAGGAAAGAGGCCGTTCTTCCCATTCAATCGCCCTTCAAACCAATTTTCGTCCACCTGCGCAACAAGTTCTACCACTTGACCTTCCTTCAGATTGAGCTGCAACATAATAACTTCACTTTGAGCTAAAGAAACACGCTAAGCAATAGAAATTTTAGTTTATGCATACGTATCACTCCTAGTATCTGTAGGACCTCTTCTTCTACTACTAAGGGGTTATAATTCGAGGAACATACTTCCCCTTCATTCTGGGCCTCAAAATCAAACATGGCCCTTGCAGAGGGCTTTTGTTGCTGTTGCTGTTGTTGTTGCTGCTGCTGTTGAGATGGTACGGACGGATATGAACCGGACGCATGGAATCCACCACCATTCGAATAATGCTGTGGTTGTTCATGTGATTGACCACCAACTGATCCGTCCGTTGCAGGTGACCTAAGAAAAAGCTGGCTTACTCAGACACAAAAATGGAGACCATTATGCAGTTGAGAGCGAAGTTAGCCTTGAAAAAAAGCAAAATATAACCCTACGAGGACATTTTAGCTCATGAGTATATTTTATAATACATTTGCACATACACAATTACACAAGAATAGCACATTGTTCAAAAAAGCTAAAGCTCAAAGTGAATCTGCTACCTCGAACGAGGTGTCCTGTTCGTGAGCACTGGTAGAGGATGGTGTTCTGCTCGTGGACGACAACTCGCTTCTTTCACTCTTAATCAATTGACTCTGAGTTTTCCTGTCATGATCACGCAAGAGAAGCCAAGTTACATCAACGAATTAAAAATTTACAAAAAAGCAGATGTGCTATAAAATCATGGACCACACCTTGCGGCAAGTTGGGCTTGCAGAGCTTCTAGTACTTGTGTTGTTTGTCGATGAAAATCCAACTGCGCATCGACGAGAGCTCGCAGCTGAGACACTTGTTCCACCTGGAACTTAGATAGGGGCAGTGAATTCAATGATCACTCAACTAACAAATACAAGCTAACATCATTGCTTAACACATTGAACATCGCCATCTCAGCAAGCCGCTTGGATTCCTCCAATTTTTCTTCAGCCTGGATCAACTCCTCATCTAAAATTGAAACCTTCGAAGTAGCAAAAATTTTAAAAAACAAAAGGATCAATTGAAACGAGTATTTCTAGTTCATTCCGGACCTATGTAAGCTCTTGTCCCTCTTGCGAATTGACTGCACCGATTCTCAGAAGAAAACGAAGTGTTCAAAAGAAAAAAGATGCTTTCAAACAACTTCCCTATTAGTCCTCTATCCCCTTCACACGATTCATATTTCATACCTCAGCTCTGCTTTCACAGCACTAGGGGACTCAGTAAAAACGCGATAATACAATCAGTGAAGATTTTTTTCCAGACGATTATGAGGGTACCTCTTCTTTGTTGACGCTTTTTGCAATCATAGTCAAGACGACGCCCTTTCAATTTCGTACGATGATGCTGAAAAAACAAACAACAGCGGTCAGGAAATCTACTGCAACTGAAAACTCTCATATCATTCAGCTCATCATAGCGTAACATTATTCTTTTTAGGCATTGACCGTTGACGCTAAAATATAACCGGCCTCTCCCGAGATGGAAACAGCTGGCTCGTGTTTCAAACATGGATGTTACTGAATACACAATGTCGGTGTTCACTGGCATGATTCGACCGCTAATTCTGTTAATAGCAGGGACGACACTACCACTTCAGCGGCCACACCCTCTCATTTGGTGTCTTCCATTTTGCGGCTGAGCTTGACACCCTCCCCAATTTCGCTGGCTCTAGCTTCTTTCCAGTGCTTTCACTGAAGTTATAAGCTTACCAGGGAAGGATCCCAAGTCGAAGTGGTCATTCAAAACGAGACCTACACTGCTGGGCGTGTCTTTGAATCAAATTTGGAAAGCAGATTTGAACTCAGCGTCCAAAAACACGTCCAGCAGTGTAGGTCTCATTTCAAATGGCCACTTCGACTTGGGATCCTTCCCTGCTTAGATCCACAACTTCTAGGGAGTTTCCAGCAATTATCAAGATTTTCAGTTCAGAATCATAACTGGAACTGAATTCTCTGAGGTCCTTCCCTCGTTACAGCTTGGCACACTTTGTCGCTTTCAGCTGACGAAGTAGATTCGCTTTTGCGACTTTAAATTTTCGTTATAACCGTGGATAGGAACCAGCCTGTCAATCTGAGCTCAACCCTTGTACCAGCGTTAGCACTGCGATACTCTAGAGCGAAAACTGATGCCCTTCTAGAGTACAAACATGGACCTACAGCTGGAACTACCCGGCTATACCAGAATCTATTACATACAAACCATTACACCGGTGATGCAGGAATGAACCTTATATCAACCAGGACTAACCAAGTTCCCATACCTCCCAATCAGTCAATTGATAGAAGACACGTTCGAGAACGTAATAACACAGGATAGCGAACCGTTCGCACCGCAAACCGTTCTATATCCCATACATTTTACATTCAAAACGCTACTACGATTCTAAATAGAGCTGAACGCAGGAGGGACATCTTAAAACGGAATTGATCAACACTAACATTGTCATTTTTATTATACGTAAATACAAAGTTGAGATAAGATTCATCTCTCTCACTCACATTTACGTCCTTCAACTCGTTATTCTGTAAATGAGTTAGCGGATCGATGAAGTTTTGCTTCACATTCTCCTCCATTTGATATTTGATGTCGGCCATATGGCGATAAGCTTCGGCTGCCTCGAGAAGAGCCTTAAAATTGCGACGCCATGAAGAAGACTTTATGCTGGGCTGTGATGTCACGAAGTTTTAATCCAATCAAAATACTACAGAACAAAAAAAAAAATTCGTGCAACGATGTTCCAATGCGCAATCTCTTTTTCTAGATCTTTTTCTTTTTTTCTATGACTTGATTTAAAATACATGGCTTATTTTCTCTATACAAAGTTGGAACGCTATTGTACACTTGAACATTCAAAATATATACTCAGAAGTACGAGTCCAACCTTTCCAAGATCACTTGAGTCACCTAGTGCAGATCCATACTTATACATAGTGTCAGCCAACATTCCTTCTGTTTGTGGATAAGGGGATGTCTTCACAGTACCTCGGACTTTTGATATGGCACCCATTGTTGCCATTTTAGCACGAGTTGCTGAAAATTGTTTAAAATGTTTAGAAATGTGAAATGAGAAAGGAAATCAGGAAGGAAAGATAAAGGATTTTTAGAAGAATATTGTGAAAAGGAGAAATGGCTAACCAGGATTGGGTTGCAGATATTCATTCGTTCCAGCTACAAGAGCACTGATGAGCTCGTATGTCGTATCAATATGCTGGAAAAGAATATCAGTATAACAAAAAAAAAACAATGTATTTTTCAGTACCTTTTCCATTTCGTTGTACTGGTCATCGAGTTTGGTGGGCTCAGCCGCACCCATCGTCTCGGATAAATACTGAAAGTTTTGTTGAAAATACCAAAACTTCTAGAAAAGAGGAACCATAATGTCACACCTGATTAGCTTTGTTGAACTGCTTGCGAAGTCCAGAAAGGGACATTTTTGCGATATACCCCGACACGATTCCTTCAATTAATGCATTACCGTCAGTATAAGAAGAAACATATCGTGACAAACGAGACGGCGATCACATAAGTGGACGAATATAAGAGCAAAAAGAATGACACGGATTGATGAAATCGATAGGGGATGACTACTATGTGACTGCAAAAAGTATCCTCGCAAAGAGCAATCATAAAGATGATCAAGCTAGAGGATGGCAAGGACCGGAGTATTGAATCGTGGGTGGTTAAGCAACAGCACTGATCTCCAGTCGTCATTCATTGGTTAAATTGGTGCTGAAATTTGACTAGACTCCTTCTATCTACAGAATCACATGCGCCATGGTGTCTTCACATGACATCAACCTCTATCCTATGACTGCCTTAGAGTTTCGACATTAAAAATTGAGGTCTTCATAACACAACGCAGACAGTAACGACAGCCTCGCTATGTACTTCCAATGCAGGTCAGCAATCCTTAATGCTTCTCTTGATATCTAGAGTACGGAACAGTGCCTCCTGTCCAATTCAGGTTGAACGTAGTGAAGGAAGCAGACTGCCTTCTACTGCGCCAACCACACCACAGCCAGTAAGGGCGCGAGTATCTATGAACCTACTCGCTATCACACTTTTATAGGGATTTACAGTCATACCTCACCCTGAATAGTTACGTTCCGTGCCTTGACGATGTTAGTGGTATTCTCTTCCTCGTGTGCAATGTATCGAGGATTCGTACTATAGATAAAAACTGTGTCTAGCCGTATCACCGTCCTGAAATTCTCGCGTGCAATATTCTTTGCACCACCACCATTCTCAGCATACTGCGAATGCTTCTTTGGGGTATTCGACGGCGTAGAAAACGATCTTAAAATCGACATCGCCGCCAAGCGAACGCAATTAAAGAGTTGTGAGACGACTGAAATCGATGCCGTATACGGATAGATAAGCCCGAAAGTTTACAAATAGAGTCGGTTCGAGGTCGCGCATATTTCCTAAAAGTAAAGAGCCCTAATAATTTGAGAGCAAATTGTAAGCATAAGTACTACTCAGGGAATGCTGGAAACCTATACGCAGACAGCAGAGGCCTAAGGTAAGGGCATACAGCGGATTGGTTGATTGAATTATGTGGCGTTTTGAAAATGCCATAGAAAATCACGTAACGACGTAGGCATGATAATAACGAAATCACAGACAAACGTAAGGCGATACTGCCAATTATATGTGAAATGGTGCACGCACAGCCATAACGACATTGATTCGTCGAAGTAATTGATTCGAGCAGAAGTTCTGAGAAACTCAGACACATGTTTCGAATTCTTCTAAGACTTATCCGAGCTCTAATCTAATCAGTAACTATTTCACCTTCAGACTTGTGGAAATTATAAAAAGTTTCCTAGATATCCTCCGCCAATTCACTTAATCGCTAGAGATTCCTACATACGCCAATTGCTCACCTGCTCGAGGGAAAAACTCTAAAAAACGGAGTCGAGCGTAATGCTTGGCTTACAAATACAAGGAATTCCCACTAAAAAATGAAGAGAACAATTTTGAGTGCGAGGTAATTTTCAGTGCACCCTTTTGTCAGTTGCTGAGAAAGTTGTGAAAGCTAAGAATCCATAAATTCTGATATGCAATCAGATAATTAATACAAAAGAATGCTCAGATCACGGTTTTGGACAAGGTGCAGAGGCATTAAGGCCTAAAATATATCAGAACATCCTTATTGCTTACACTGCTGTGCGAAACCTCACACTTCCGAGAAAAAAATGGACTGGAGAAGCGAACCAAGGGAACTTTTATCCATTTATCACAATCGACTCTTCATTGATCTCGGCATGATTATTGCCCATATCCTGTTTGTTGTATTTGCCTGAGCCCAGGAAATTAACCAGACTTCGAGCACAGTAAATATAACATACGGAAGAGCCGATTTCAAATGATTACATAAGGACTGCGACGAATTGTAAAAAAAAAAAAAAGAATTTGGAAAAAAATGGAACAAATGGTGGCACAAGAATCTCAGCTAAGAGGAAATATAACCGTATTAGGCTTCCACTGCAACATTTCCATTCCACTTCCATTGTAACAACAACACTGTAGAGCTCATTCATTATTTTTGCCTCTAAGAATGATTACGGGGACGCAAGAAAGCAGTATGTCATTATTATACGGACGATCGTAAGCTCGGATAAGGGCAGCACTTTCTGAGTTTATGAGTTAACGTCCCGATGAATCGAATCAAAGCGAGTGCAGCGACGCGGAGAAATATCATTGTACCACCGCCTCAAGCAACTAAAACACTCGGCACACTTGGACGTGCAATCAATGGGCTCTCATGTTCCTGTGCTGCCTACCAATAAGAAAGGCCAATATGCCTTCAATATTCGCTAGCGCAGGTAGCTCTCAGACTGAAGGAAACCACTACGGCAATGGACTGTCCAAGTCCAGCACTCACACAAAAGGTTTGTGATCTTGCCGAAACTCTTCACAGTTTTACGATGCCTGATTCATAACAAGCATTCCCTAACAATCAGTAATTATACATACCACATAAATGAAAGGAGAAACCGAATGCCGCATGGGCAGAAGTAATGCGTCAGAGAGGGCAACCCACAATGTAAAAAAAGGAATCTCTGAACTCAACCTTTGCCAATATCATACGCAGCACCTGTCATACACAGTAAACTTTTTTCGGGTTACATATTTTCTCTATAGTATGCGCATATTTATGCTCTCTTAACCAGCACCACGGCTTGACCTATGGACGATGTCCGCGAGTGAAAGTGCTCAGTTCCGTTTTGTTCACCAGTGTTTACCTGAGGACCACTAACATGTCCATGAGTCATTGTAATATAAACGTCACTACTGCTGAAAGACTGTGAGGGACAAGCCATATTAACAATGGCCTCAATTTCCTTTCAAAATCACATGATCCTATTAATGATTCGTCATCGTACCACTGCTCACCGGTATCTCTAAAACACATTAACATAGGAAATTCGTTGCATGGAGTTCTAATGCATCAGATCAATATCAGTCGGAACTATCCTTTTTGCAGTATCAAAGATCAAGAAGTTCGTTCGGTTTCACAGCTGTAGAAGTAGAAAATACTGCTGTGTCCGAGGGAGGATTGACATCGATTGGAAATTGTGACTATTATAAGGAGAAATGTGTGAAAGGATGCCGAGTAATTTTTGGTGCTCAACCAGTAACGGGTAGGAAAGTCAAGATGGAGGAAATGATTTAAATCGCCATTCCAATACCGTTGCAAAAAAAAATCCACCGAAGTCACATTCGCTAATTCGCTTGATATTCATTACAAATTTGCGGAAGATTCTAGGAACGGTTTACGGCGTCGAGAATGCTTGTATAACATAGAAGTGAACACCATTTGTATTATCTACGACTACCGATGAAAGCCGTCAATTTTATCACCTTATCAAAATCTTATCTTATCAATGCCTTCTATTTATCTTCTATCTTCTATCAATATCAAAAATCACCTGAAAACACTTTTTTACCACACTTAACACTTCACAGAAGTTGTGCCTTTTGACCTATTCATATCACTTTAAACAATTTAGTAAAACGAGTTCGTATGAAAGTGTTTCTTGTGAACACATTAATGCACTCTCAAGGCCATGATCAGCATTGTCGTCAAGCGACAATTTCGTCATAGAATTTTAGAAGGGTTCCGTAACGTAATGATTTCATTGGAACTCGATACACTGCGGCCTGTATATATGAAAAACGAGCAAAAAATGTTATGAATTACGGGACAGACGAAAGGCTGCGAGCACCACTAGAGTGGGTAAACACACATTTAGCAGGCCGCCAGCTGACTGGAACAAAACATGTTCTCATCTGTGTCGAGCAAACCCGGAAGAAAATGCTTGAAGGACTGTACTGCGCACAAAGCTCTCTCTCTCCACTGTGCAGAGAAACTTTCCATTACCCTTCCTTTGCACTACGCTCCGCTCCGAAATCAAATGAATCTTCGCCCACAAAAGTCAGATCCAGTCAGATCCTGGCCCATCATTCATAAATGTGAATTACTTTGCACGTAATCAGAGTGGAACTTCAACCATATTTCTACAATAAACAACTAACCCAAGGAAAAGAAGAAAGGATGAATGGAGAACTGCGAGGAAATGATGGTTTGCAAATAAGAGGGCAGAAAAAGTGCCATGTCGGTAAATGTTTGACCGGTAATTCATCACTCCTGTACTCCTGGACCGAGACCTTTTATGTTTGGGAAATGTAATTCAGGCAGCAGGGTACAACCGCTAATGGTGATGACAAAAAGTGACTACAGCTGCAAAGAGATGATCAGGATCCATACCAGGCCAGAGTCCCTAGCTGTAATACGACTTCTTCTTAACATCGGAGTCTTGGCACGGTGGATGGGATCGTGCATGGCTAACAACAGGAACTGACAGCAACCTATAAAGGGTAATATGGAAACATAGAAGGCATAGCAAATACGTTACTCCCTAATTTCATCTTAAACAAAGCTTTGCTACTCTACAGCGAGATGTTAGCACTGGATCGCGACAAGGGATGACAGAAATGGTAGCGTTGTTGAAGACTGATACGGTACCTAATAAGGTAAAGGCCACATAAAAGTAAAGGATACTAGATCGGAGTGGAAGTTCGCCGGCTCGAATCAGCATTCCAGGTGTGTAGAATGATTGTTGGAACAAAGCTACACAAATATTTCATTCATGTGGGATTTCGTGGGTAGGATTTCCTCGACGAGTAGGGCATGCTTAAGCATATTGAATCCACGCCCCTGACGTTAATTTATGACACACTGGGCAGGATGACGAACTCTTGGATCATGCACGAGGCGTTGCATGATTGATCCATGGACTCATTTTCATTTTCATAAAATGCTTGCAAAGCGACTGCGGAACGATTTTACACCTCTCAATGACAACCGCCAGACTTCGAGCGCGCTCGAAAAACATCTCAAACGGCCATTTAGGGGAATGTTGTC